TGATCTTTAAAGAAAACCTTAAATGCTAACAAATTCCAAATCTTTATAATTATGGCCTTTTAAATAAGACCTTAAATGTAAACAAATTTCAAATCTTAATAAGCATGTTCTTTTAAATAAGACCTTAAATGCTAACAAATTCAAAATCTTATGATCTTTTTTAAAAAGACCTTAAATGTAAACAAATTCAAAATCTTGATAATTATGATATTTTAAGTAAGACCTTAAATGTTAAAATTAATTCAAAATCTTAATATGGTCTTTAAAATACGACTTTAAATGCTAACAAATTCCAAATAAAAAACGTAATAATAAAAGTTGAAATAAAAAAATATAAAAGTCATGGAAATGAGATTATTGTTAAAAACAGGTTAAAAACAGAATTTAGGTATTTCAGGGAGACATATGTTCAGTCCTGCTTACAGCCAGACTGAACTGGGGTCCAGACAAGTTTATGATATCAGGTGGTAAAGCATTCTAGTGGACTATTGTTCTTGGGAAAAATGAATATTTATAGTAATCAGTTTTAGTTAGGACTTGCTGGAATGCATAAAGATGGGATGTTCTAGATGATCTTGTAAGAGGGATGATATACTTTGGAAAAGGGATAGCCACCTGGTCATGCAAGATGTTTTGAAACATGACCAGGCGTTGGTCAATACGCTGAGGGTCAAGGCGCCTCCGTTGAAGGGAAGTCAACATGTCAGTGACACTCGACAGACGGTCAAAGTCATGTTTGGCCCACCTAGCAGCCCTTCTCTGGATGGACTCTATCTGGTCAATGAGAGTTCCTGTGAAGGGGGGACCAGAGCGTGGAGCTGTACTTGAGCTGGGGCCTGACAAGTGTCTTGTATGCAGTTGACTTTAACCTTTCTGAGAGAACTTTGATGTTTTTGCGTAGACAACCAAGTGTTTGACTCACCTTTGCTGTGATGTTGTTTACGTGTTAATGTTCCATGTTAAATCATTTGATATCCTAGTGCAAAGGTATTTTGCAGATAGAACTGTTTATAATGTGGTGTTACGTAAGAGGTATTGTGTTGGAATGACTGTTTTTCGTTTTGTGATTTGGATAACCTGGCATTTTGATGGATTAAATTGCATGTTCCATTTTGTCTTCCATTGTTAAAGTTGATGTAAATTATGTTGCAGCAAGCTAGAAATTAGAATGAGAAGCGACAGTCAGAGATAGATAGCTGGCCGTGTCATCAGCAAATAGGCAGACTTTAGAGGATTGGACATATTCAGGAAGGTCATTGAAGTGTATAAGAAATAAGAGAAGTCCGAGGACAGAGCCCTTGGGAACACCGGAGGAGACTGGTATGGAGCTGGATGTGGAGCCATTTACTACCATGGACTGTGACCTGTTATAAAGAAAACCTTTGATCCATTCAAGAGTTTAACCCCTAATACCTTAGAAATGCAGCTTATACAGAAGTTTTTTAATGGTTGACTATACCAAAGGCCTTACAGAAGTCAAGAAGAATTAAGTCTACTTGGTATCTCTGATTTACTGACAGTAGGATATCATCTATAAGCATTAATAAATGGGATTGACATGACCGTTTTTCTTGGAAACCATGCTGCAATTCATAGAACAAGTTTGATCTAGTAAAGTACTTTGTTATACTGGAGGAGACAATGTGTTCCAGGATTTTACACAAGATAAAATACTGCGGACAGATTCTGAAAGTTCTCTGAACAAATGCTTTCTTACCTCCCTCCAACAGTACATTGCTTTCTGTTTCAGTTTCCACCCATGGATGTCTTTCATCAATTAAGCTTTATCATGATGAAATTCATTTGTTTTAAAGAACATTCTACATCTACATTGTACATCGGCGCAATCACACTTGATTATGACGCGACGGGTGGTGCTAGGTCAAGAAAAAGAAATATACAAGAAATGATAGAAAGTTAGAAGAGGTTGGATAGTATAAAGGTAGAGATATAGACAAAAAGTATGGCCAGCTATATTTCGCCTCTTCAACCCAAACCTCTCCGGTTACGGTGGCCGCTGCCGGCACAGCCTTGGATATCACAAGTGGGTACTTGTAGCTGGGCCCCTAAGGCGACTTAGAATGTGAGGGCTGATAGCCCCTGCTTGAAGGATACCAAGTCAGGGGCCTCTGCAACGGAGGCAGGTAAGCTGTTCCATATCTTGGCTGTACGAGGGAAGAAGGAGTTCTTGTAGTACGATGTAGATGTTGATGGTATATGGACCTTCTTGGAGTGGTCACTTCTAGTGCGGCTCGGGGCAGGGGTGAGATAATGGCTGACTGGTATGTCCACAAAGTCATTGGTGATCTTGAACATCATGGTCAGCTGGGCTTTGGTCCGTCGTGACTCTAATGTCTCCCACTCCAAGTGTTGGATCATTGAGGATACGCTGCTTGTGTTGTGGTAACGGTTCGTCACATATCTTGCAGCTCTCCTCTGGACCATCTCGAGCTTGCATGTAAGGTCCTTGGTATAAGGGTTCCAGATGGTGGAGCAATATTCAAGGCCTGGTCGCAGGAGTGACATGTAGGCTGTGCTCTTGACCTGTTCATTGCTGATGGGCAGGTTGCGTCGAAGGAAGCCGAGTGTGCTGTTGCCCTTCTTTACGATCTTGTCAACATGTTGATTCCAGGAGAGGTTTCCATACAGATGGACTCCGAGGTACTTGGTTATCGAGTCTATCTCGAGTGTGTGGCCCTTCAAGGAGTACGGGTATATGATGGGGTTCCTCTTCCTGTGGACCCTGATTATGCTGCATTTCTCTGGGTGGAAACTCATGCCCCAGCGTTTCTCCCACAATGCCAACTTCTTCAGGTCATCCTGCAGAACGTGGCAGTCCTCTTCAGTGTTGATTTCCCGGTATACCACACAGTCGTCAGCAAAGAGTCTGGCTTTGGACGTGACATGAAGTGGTAGGTCATAGATGAAGACCAGGAAGAGTATGGGTTCGAGCACACTTCCCGCAAACAGGACGTTTCGGCCCCAAACCAAATCGGCCCCAGTCGAAAAATCTGCCCCTGGACGTTTCGGCCCTTTTCCGCGAGACGTTTCGGCCCCACTATAGTGTATTGCTTGATTGATTAACAACAATTAATTACAATTAAACAATTATGACACTTTAATTCTTTGAATAATTATTTATTATCTTATGATCTCTTGAACCATTTAGATATACGTTAATGTTTTTAAAGGTGTTACAAACAATAAAGGCCGGTTACTTACCTATAAAACAAACCACTAAAACTTCTTGATTAAGAAAGTTAATTACAATTTTTCCTTAGAAAACATTATCTTTTGATCTTAATTAAACTATACGTAATTTCTTCAAAGTGTAACTAATTAACTGTTTATACTTTATGCTTATTGGCAGTATTGTTTTGTGTCTTGCTTCTTAATCATTCAAATACAATATCATCTATATATGGTTTATAATTTTTTTTGTATGTGTGTATTATATTTTTACAAATAAAGTTTATGTTCTGTTCTGTTTGTATTGATTACTTTCCCCCTACTACTATAATAATCTAGTTTTTATACTAAATGATTAAATATATCCTGTTTTCTCGTATTCTCGGGGGGTTAAGGACTAAACTTGGTTGCATAATATTTATAAAACATTCTGTTACAGTATTTTTAGCCTGATACACAGAGAAATACCTTATTAACAAAATACAAAGAAAGAAAGATCGTAATTGTAAGCAAAACTAAAGATATTTCTGCTTGTATATACTGACCTTCACCCTCTATGTGAAGCAGGTGCTTTCTCGTATTCTCGTGGAATTTGATTGGTTGTTAAGGCTGGTCGCTATGTGATGATTTTATTCTACATACCAGTTCAAATCATTAGTGCCACACCTAATTAAGTGTTAAATGGCCTAAATCTATAATTTTATTGTGTTTTAATAACAGCTTGGCAGGCCATATCAAACTTTAAGGATCATATTGACGCCTCTTTGGTACCAAATGATTTTGATTGTTCCAAAAATAGTTTGAACTCCATTTAGTGTTGTTATTTACATTATCTCTCTAATATATATTAAGTTTACGTTTATTTATTAGTTACTTATTAGTTATATGAACATTAAACAATGAATACTACTGTTTTCCATTGCAGTTGTCAAAAGTGAAATGTGTTTAGGACAAACAATGTTTCTTTATTGGTTTTTAATTGGAGTTCATATCTTTTTTATATTATCTATTCGTAGTACAAATATTTTGAGCTGTATTGTATAAATAGTAGTGTGAGACCGTCATTTGAAGCATCTTGCGTCAGAGACCCGCTACAGGTTTCTGCAACATGGAAAAAAAACTATAAAATTGATGATTTTGGAGGGAAAATTGATAAATTTTATGTTTATTCTCTAGATTTTACGATTATTTTCAGTTATTTTGTTAAAATGCTCTGCTAAATAGACATGTTTTCGGATATCGATGGAAGTCGCGAGCGTTGCTTCCAATTTAAATATTCCACGAGAATACAAGAAACCCCGAGAATACGAGAAACAGGGATATATATTAATTGATTAATTTTTTTATTGAAATGCTATTAATATATCGGTTTAGAATACATTACTTATTCTGGGGCCGATTTGGTAAAGGGCCGAAACGTCCGGGGCCGAAACGTCTTGGGTAGTTTGGGGCCGATACGTTTTGGGGCCGAAATGTCTCGAAATCCACTTCCCTGGGGGACTCCGCTGATAACGGGTGTTGGGTTGGACGTTGCTCCATCAACAACTCTGCGCTGAGTGCGGCCTGTGAGAAATGCCTCAATCCACTTCAAGGTATGGTTTCTGATGCCATAATGATGGAGCTTGACAAGCAAGCGACTGTGTAGGACGCGGTCGAAGGCTTTGCTGATAAACACTCTCTGCTATAAACACTCTCCTTTTTGTTGTAGAAATCTGATTTGTTTAAGGATCTACGTTTAAAATGAAACATAATAGCGTAGATTCCAATGAATTTAAGAGATAAAAAACACACACAAATGGTCCAATACATACCTTCCATGTTGACATCTATGTTTATTTTCAGAAACGTCTGTTGTTGTTGTATTTGTTGTTGTTGTTGTACAGGGTTTACGCCACGAAGTTTTTCTACAGGTTGGACACTACTAAATTATTTTCCTTCCCCGTTCTACTGTACAGTAACATCAATTTTATAGTCCGTAATTTTAAGACTTATACGTAACATATTTCAACATTTCATGGAATTACATTAAACACTTTTAATCATTTATTAAGTTTTAAAATACATGTATTTAAAAATTCTTGAAAATGTCCATAGCTTTACTGTACTGGACTTCTTTAAGGTCCTGAAGGAGGTATACAAAACATGGTCTTTTTCAAGTATGTTGACTATGGTATGGTGATCATATAGTACTGTTACTCTTGATGTAAAAACAAGTTCTCAAAAATATTTCCCAAGTCAGTGGCCTGTGTTCAATACAGTTCTAACTACCTCATTGTAATTTAGCAAAAGCATATGGTCACCTAGTAGTATAGGAGCAAGACACAATGTGATGATTTTTTGTAAGTTGGTAAACTTTTTGTTACATTAAGATATTACAAAAAGTATGTGATTTAGTGTCGGAGTTATCTCTCCAACCAGTACATAAAATTTAAAAAAAAATATAATAAACAGTACTATATGATCACCATACCATAGTCAATGTAATCACTTATTAGTTAATTTGTTTCCTTCAGTTTGCTTTTCGCAAAAAAAGTTTTATTTCAAATTACTCTAACATTTTGAGAGATAACTCCGACGCATAGATAACCCCGACACTTGATAAATATAATTTTTATAACTTTGTTTTTCAACAAAAAAGCATATGGTCACCTAGTAGTATAGGAGCAGGACACAATGTGATGATTTTTTTGTAAGTTGGTAAACTTTTTAATATTTTTCAATTAACCCAAACTTTTCGTTGGCAAAAATTGCTTCAAAACGTTCTTTTTGCTAAATTACAATGAGGTAGTCAGAACTGTATTGACCACAGGCCACTGACTTGGGAAATATTTTTGAGAACTTGTTTTTACATCAACAAAAAATAGATAAAACATTTAAGATGTAAAAATAAATTAATGATGCTGATTTTCCTGTCATTTTTTACTTAAAAATTTAAGTGTCGACTTTATCTACTGTTGAGGGGTAAAAAGACCATGTTTTGTATACCTCCTTCAGGACCTTAAAGAAGTACCAATTCTCATTTTCATACATAATTTTTGTAGTGTAATGTAAAGTCTTTGAACTGAACTTTATTTAGGTGGTTCAATATTTAAAATATACAGGAAGATAATTAAGATATTACAAAAAGTATGTGATTTAGTGTCGGAGTTATCTCTCCAACCAGTACATAAAATTAAAAAAAAATATTATAATAAACAGTACTACAATGTATATGATCACCATACCATAGTCAATGTAATCACTTATTTGTTTATTTGTTTCCTTCAGTTTTCTTTTCGCAAACAATGTTTTATTTCAAATTACTCTAATATATCAAAGACTGCATAAAAGATTCTCTGTGTCGGATTTATCCAGTCCAGTTATAGCTAGAAAGTTTTTGCATGACTTTTTTAATTTTATAAATTTATCAAATAATCTAACACAACTGTTGTATCTCCGAATCATTTATAGATTTCTTATAGATAGAAAAGATAAAAAAAACTCGAATGAAATAGCTGGTATGTGTATATGACTAACATTCAGCTATAGATACTTTAAGATGTTAATATTTGGAATTTATAGACAGCTTTAATAATTAATTAAAGGTTAAAAGCTTAAACGCGAATTCAAACGTTAAGAGTCCAATTTTCTCAACAACAAAAAACAACGAACGAACATTGGTAGAAACGACAAATAGTTTTTCACACACTAGCAACCCTACCGCCTGATCTTGATAATAAATTTGAGTTTAAGTTTTTAGATTAAAACAGTTGTTATGAATTTAAATGTTATCTAAAAAAATGTTTTCAAAAATCTGCAATTTCTGAGTAAAGACTTATAGCAGTCATTGTATGATATGTGGTTTCTGCATACATTTTAACTGTAGAAACGTTTACTATTTCATTTTTGCATTTTCTTCACTCCGAATTTGTCAGCTGCAGGTTTGGTCCATGTGCGAAATGATGAAAACTAAAAGAAAAATACAGCCAAACTCGGGAGAGAAACTTTCTCCTGCTTTACATTAATGAGCTTTCCGGAACTCAAATTCAATTAAATTTCATTGTGATTTAAAAAGTGTCAACAATGACGTATTCATCCCCCCCAAAACTTAACTTATGAATTCAATATTTCTAATGGGCCACAAACAGATATAACATTCACATAAAGTACAGGTTTAGATGTTAAAGCTGCCACTCAGCAACTTTAAGTACATAGTACATGTAGACCAAGCGGACGTAAAATGATAATCGCCTTACACACTGTGTTATTTCTTTCTGAATTATGCATAGTGTTATATTTCTGCTAATATTTTAATTACGGAATTATCTTGACATTTACCTTCTATAATTTTCAATTATTGTAATAAAGAACATTAATGAAAAGAGGCGCGGCAACATAAAGTTTAAGTTTCCTTCTACTTACGTAATAACAGTATGTAATAAAAAATGTAAAACTCAGTGGTAATTATGGATCATTTCTTATACATATTAATGACATGACATTAATTTCATATTCTATTAATATTGACATGTACGCCGATGACTCCACTTAATACAAATCCGATACTGATATTCTCGTTATTGAGAAAGATCTCCAAAAAAAGTCTTAACTTAGTCAACAAATGGTGTATAAATAATAATATGTCTCTGCACAAGTGTATGCTATTAGGTTCAACATTCAAAACTAAGCGGGCTAGAAACCTCGAACTTGCTATAAATGACACTATATTAGAAAACGTACATGTATCAAGTCAAAATATTCTTGGGATATGTGTTTACAGTAATTTAACATGGTCACGGATTTATAAATCCGTGACATGGTATACTCAATTTCATAACTTAATAAATAAACTCAATTCAAAAATTGTGCCAACAATGGACTATGGCAATACCGTATGGGGACAAAACTGCAAATGGGATACCGAAAAATATACATCATACAAAAGATGGCACTTCGAGTTCTTCTGAAACAGCATGGAACAAAAAGTGTATTTAAAACCCAAAATCTGCTTACTTTTGAAAACAGATGCAATTACAACATGGCCTTATTGGTTTTTAAAAGTGAACATAATCTCGCACAAAAATATATATTTGAACTACTAGTTTTTTTTTCTTAAAATGATAGATATAATCTTCTCTCTTCGTCGAATAATGATCTTATTCACTTATGGCCACGGACAAATTATACGCAACAAACATTTACATACAAAACGGCATATTTATGGATACATTTCCAATTAACATAAAACTACAAATAAAAGTAAATTGCACGATCTTTTTAGGATAAACTAAAAGATTATTTAATTTAAAAAAAAAACGCTTAAAGCACTCAAAACATTAAACTGATTTTTTGAACTTTCAACAGAAATTTATATACATGTTGCTATATATAGCGCTTTGTTTGTTTCTTAACACTGATTGATGATTGTATGTGCATACGAAGTTAAGATGCTAATTTCCATATGTTATTATTTACAATCCACAAACATGCTATGTATTTTGTAAGACTGTTTGTTGTAATTATATTGCTGTTGATTGTTATTTCTGTTTTCTGTTTATATATGTATAGTAGGCCATATTGGAAATAAGTTGTATGTTGATTATGTACTCTTAATATGTCAACTTCTCAAAATACAGTTATTATTATTATTATTATTATTATTATTATTATTATTATTATTATTATTATTATTATTCTTTTGAATATGTCAATCGTAATTATATAGCAACATATATAATCACTTTCGGATCTACTTCCTGGAGTTAACCAAGTTGTAAATTTGTCTTGTTGTGCTTCCTTTAGGGATTCTATATCTCTCTCTATTCTATCGCCAGCAGCGTTTATTCAATCAGTGATGTTATATTTTCGATCCTTAAAGATCGTTCAGCAAAACATTATTGTTATGCTTTTGATATTTTAGTTTTTTTCTTTTCGTTTTTATTTGTAGTTCCATTATTCCTCACTTGAATACTATTTAATCACCCTTAGGATATGTGGCCAGCTTTTTTAAATTTGTCTTTTGACGTCATGTCTGTGATATGCAGGCTTCATAACCTCTGATCCCCTTTCAAAATTCCATTTTATTTAGCTCCATCTATTGTTTTTTTATTTCGTTCAGGACTCATGCAAATTTTTACTTGGGGACCATATACCGCTTTTTTATCATTTATATCATTTTCAAACTGGTTTTAGTCCTTTATTGGAACCCTGGAATAACATTATACAATTTTATCAAATTAATCATTTTTATAATACAATATTTAAATTAACAATAGTTTGATCTTTCAGTTAACAGATATGGGAAAATTACGGTATTAAAGGGTTATAATTTACTCATTTTGCATAAGAGGTACCATTTTAACAATACAAATAATTATGATATTACTATTAAAATAGTACGAGCTCAGCGGGTTTTGTACGTTAAATTTTTAGTTTTTCAGCAAAAAATATACGATGACTTACTGCGCTTTTCTACCGTGCGCCGGGTGCCGTGTATGTGCTTATTTAAAAGCAATATTAAATCATTATTTATTGGCACAATTAACTGTTCCTTTCAAAATGTGTTGGTCATATTCTACAATATAGTCTGATAAAATTTAATTACAATACACGTTGACGTTAAAGAGATATCTAAAAAGTCCACGAATTTTTGGATAACCCCTCGTACATTGCAAATTATATCGAATTACATATAATTATACAATAAGTTGCTACAATTTAAAATAATTATTTATGAAGTATAATAAAGTATATACCTGGAATAACAGAGTTAACACTTTTAATTTAAATCCAGTTTATTTCTACAACGTCCAATTAATTTCGAGTGATACCTGGGACAGTTGAAATTGGAAGTTTTGTTTAACTCTGTTAAACCATATGTAAATAAACATTAATGTAGAAATTGTT